AAATAGCTGAAAAGCATTTCTTCAATTGGAGGTATTTATTCAATAAACATTAAGTAACATTTATTGAGCACTTATTACATGCAGGTTTTGTGTTTGGTGCTGATATATGCAGTAATGATCAGACAGGAGTTTAGTCTCATGGCACTACCAGTCCATAGTAGGAGGTGGATTTTTAACAAATGAACTTGTAAATAAAGCTAAAATTACAAATTATACTGGGTGCATTAAGAACACTATGTTGAGAAGCTTAGCACAGAAGAAAAGCATAACTAAGATTGAAAATATAAGAAAAGGCTGTCTTAGGAAATGCTATTTCATTTGAGATCCTAAGAGAGAATAAAGTAAATAAAATTGGGAGTATGGGGCCAGGGATTTATCTCAGTGGCACCATGCCTTCCAAGTGCAAGGTCCTGAGTTCAATCCCCAGTACTGGAAAAAAATTGGGGGTAGAAGAGAGTAATTCAGACTATGCTCAGTTTCACTGCATTCACACTGCATAACAATGAAGCAAAATCTCAGTGTTTGACAATAAGACTTACTTCTCTTCCTCCAAGATCCAGGATCTGCTGGGGTCTGGGTCATCTTGGCTGGGCTCTACCATGCTGGTTCCAAGCTACAGGTTGGTTTTGGGTGTACTCCAAGGGTCTCATTCAGAGCCAAACAACTTCAGGGACATGCTCTGTCATGTGGATGACAGAAGTGGGAAAGGCCAAGACAAACTTCCTGTCCACATTTCCCCTTGGCTAGCATCAAGTCTGTTAACTCCATTAGCCAAATCTCAAGATACTGGAGTCAGAAACTGTGCCCCACCTTGTCCACAGAGAAGGTAAGGGTGAACAGTTATTACAGGGACAGAATAAAGAATTGGGAGCAATAATACAATCTACCTCACAGACAAAAGAAAAGACTTGAGTAAGTCAGGCCAGAACTAACAAAAAGTCTACACTGGTGAGATAATGATGATTTTAGAGAGATAGCAAGGAAATTTAATTTTCATTTTTACTGCATTAAAATGCCAAACTACAAGATTCTAAAGAAGAGTGATGCGGAGGTGATGTAGGAAAACTCATGGAGCACCTATTCCTAATACTTTTTTCCAATGTCTTTCTCTAAGGAAACATGCAATTTTCAAGACTCCCTTGCAGCTAGGAATAGTCATGTGGTACAGTTTTGGCCAGTGTGATAAAAGTTTATGCTTAATAAGAAAAGTTTCTGGGAATTATTTGGCTTACCTAATAAAATGGGGGATTAAACTACTCAGAGAATGAGGAAGTGTGTGTGTGGTGGGGGTTTCCACAATCCCTTTTGAGGGTCTGACACAGTAACGAGGCTACTTTTGTCATCAGTTTGTACAAGGCCCATCTCTTGTCATTTCCCTTTGGCCTCTGACCCTTACACAGGCTCCCACACTAGAATTTATGATTCATATCCTTCAGTGTGCACATATGCATCTTTGTAGAGATGAAACATTACTCTTTTGCATTTGTGTTTTTAATTAATATAAAAAGCTTCATACAGTTGGCCTTGTACTGTTTTTCTCGTCTTTCACACTCAACATGCTTTTGAAAAGCTCCTCTCCCATGGTAGACACTCTGCTGGCTTCAAGAGCTGTGTAGCAATCTACAGGGAACATCCACTACATGTCACCTACCCATTCCCCCAGCCAATGACTCAAGGTGGCCTCTAGCTGTTGTGACAGACCTCTGTGTGTGTGTGTGTGTGTGTGTGTGTGTGTGTGCGTGCATGCATTACCTTTCAGACCATGAGATGATTCACTTGAATATATGTCTCCACAAGTAGATAGCTGGGTCTTAGCATACTAAGTCTCAGTCATAACTACCAGAGCTTTTTCCAGGTAACTCTGCTCATTTATGCTGTCATTAACACTGTGAAGCAATAAGAGAAGGCCTAGCTTTTCCCCAGAGTTGTCAGGGACAGACAGAGTCATTTCTTTCTCTGCTGAAGCCCCCATAGAGGAAGACAATGTGATGCATACACTCAGTCATAAAGAAGGATCAGTTTGAGTCATCTTTAGGAAAACAGATGCATCTTGAGACCAGAATATTAATTGAAACAGGTCAGACACAAAGGTTAAATATTACATAGTTTCTCATATGAGAAACCTAAAGAATAAATAAAGAGAAATTTAAAATGATAGGAAATGGGGAAATAAATTTTGTGGAGATGGGGAGATAAGAGGGCAGGGAGGGGAAGGGGACATAAAAAGAATCAAGACACAATATGTATATGTACCAATCCCCCAAAATGGATATATTTATTATGTATTGTAAACATATACTAACAATTTTTTAAAAAATAAAATGGTTTAAAAAATTAACTGGTACACAACTTATCTAAGATGGCCTCATAAAAGATGAAGGGAAATGGTCACTGGAGGTTCACACAAGTGCTGCAGGACTGCAAAGCCAAGTGGTAGTGGGAAAGTTTGTAGTTGCCATCCAAGTAGCACACATTCAAGGCTCTGGGAGAAAGCAGCTGAGAGAGTATTGCTTCTCACCAGGTCCTTTACACCTCAAGAGCTGATGTATTGCCTGATCCAGACTCTCAGAGGGATCTGCTCCAGCTGAAGCAAACATGAGGGCAAGGGGGGATCTCCTGCTCCAGGTGGCCTTCACAGAGAAGTTCAGTATGGCTGCTCACCTGAGATGTTGGATGCTCTATCTGAACTCAGGTTACCTCTGGGCTCCAGGAGCACAAAATTTAGAGGGGATCCAGAAATGAAGCAGTTTTATATCTGTACAATAGTAAAAGGAACACTTTAATCAATACCTGGTGACTGGCTGTGTTGATATTGTATATTTAAATTTTTAAGGGTATAAAAAGCAAACTGTGAGAGAGAAGAATATGTAGCAACAGACTTCTCCCACAAGTATGGAATCTAAAATTGGGGTTTCCCAGAAGCAGAGCCCGAGGTGAGGATTTTGGTAGAGGTAGTTTATTTAGGAGATGGTCCAAGAAGTACCAGAAGAAGAGAAACAGAGGGGAAAAAAGTCAACAAAAGATGCTGTTGGGGTTCCTCTGAGGGACTTGTGAAATACACTTGGCTTTGTCCCATTCAAGAAGCAAGGAAGTTGGGATGTTCCTGTACCAACTCAATCCTGCCAATCATTTCATTAAGAGAGATGCCTCTTGGATTTTTAACTCCAGGCACTTCTGAGAATTCTCACACATCCTCCTACCCGAGGCAAGTTCAGCTTGAGAGTCTGGGGTACTTGCTGGAGGAAGTCACTGACATTGCACATGTGGTAAGTACTGAAAGCATGCAGAGAGGGTGCCCAGGATCTATTGCATTGGGAAAACAAGTGCTGTTCTCAGCCTCTTGACAGAAATTTTGCCAGTTGGGTTTGGTTCTCATGACACTGGAAAATTGGTAGAGACTGAGGTAGGCATCACAATGATACTGAAACCAAGACACTTTCTCCTTCTATCCTTTCTTGAACATCACTGAGAGGACACTACATCTCAGCAGCAATAATGTGTATTTGGTTTAATACAAATAACAAGTTTTCTTGGGATACCTGTGTGGTGAGATTCCTGTTTCTTGTAGTTCTGAATCTCTTGAGTGTGTCTCAGTGCCGGATTAGTCTCATGTGTTCTTTTAACTCTTCTTTCTGTAACAAATGAAGCACCAGACTTGGGAAAATTCTACTTTGACATCCCAAAGGATATACACCCAGATAGTGGCTGCAGAATGCATTTAAACTCTGTTAGACACAGGAACAAGACCACCTTAGTTGAGACAGGACTATCCAATATAGGCTTGTAGCCTGGGTGAGACAAAAGTCCAGAAAGCTTCTTTGCTTCTCTTCTTCCTGGCTGCTCTACCACCCAGGCTTGGTACCAGCTGACAATGGACTGAAACTTATACAAACTGTGAGCTAAAATAAACCTTTCCTCCTTTGACTTGTGGATGTTGGGTCTTTTGCCCCAGCAGTGAACTAAGACAAATCCCAAACACCATATTATGCCTTGACCACATGACAACAAAAAAGAAATAAGAAATAGTGGTTGGTGTTGGAGTGCCAAGGAGTGATCCCTAAGACAGTGCTAATTTCTTCCACTAAGGAGGCAATCACACCCTTGGTTGGCCCAAGTTTAGGCTGGCTATGAAAGTGGATAAAAGTTAAGTGTGTTAAGGAGCGCTGTCCTCCCCTGCTTCCCTGCCTTCACAACAAGCTGGCTCCTTGAAACTGTGGAGAGACAAGCACATTCTTGGGAAGATGCCTCTGTACTCTTCTCCACCCCATTCATTTGTTTCCATGGAAAGAACAGTGACTCCAGTAGGATGGGCGAAGGCAGGTGGCTCACACCCTTCCTCCATCTCTAGTTTCTGCCCAGAAGTTTCCTTCTTCTTTATTTGGTGAACTATCCCAGGAAGGCTTTGTCTCAAGAGAGAGAAAGGCCTCAGTTGTGCCTGTAAGTGAGTGAGTACATTTATATAGCTCAGGGGTGAAACAGGAGGAAGCCCACTGTTATGTAAAACAGATTTAGGTTTAGCCCATTATTGCCTAAACCAATGCAGCCTTACCTCCAGTAAAACTCATTCTGTACTTTGGACTCCATTTCTATGATTCCTGTGCTACTTCTCTCTTGCTCAGAATTCCCATGTGCCAGACAGTGAATGAGACCACCTCAGACTCTCCAGCAGAGCCAGACAATATCATGAGGGGCCTGCAGAAGCCATCCCTGCTGGTCCCTGCTCACAGTCCTGAATGATTAAATGGTTTTTATTAAGCTATTAAATTTTGGAGTGCTGTGCCATACAGACAAAGAAAACTAAAACAGCCTGTACCCCAAGGACAAGATACTGGGAGTTGCCTGGGTGCTAATGAGAATGTTACACACGAAATGAGACGGAAGATGCAGAACAGAAAAGGCTTAGGGTCCAGTACAAGTGAGCATGAGCAGCCTGAGATGGTCAGGCCCTCGGAATATGTTCGGGGCTCCGGCAGGGGTGCAGATTCAGCGAGGCGAAGAGCCGGGCCTTTCCTTCTCATAGCATTGGTTTTCTCGTGATGCTTGAGATGAATGGGAGTCAGGGGATATATTTTGAGGATAAAGAAGGAGCAATAAGATGGTCATCTTGGACAATGGAAAGACAGCTCTTTAGAGGAGCGCAGTTCAATGCCTGAGCAGTGCTGAGCACCCATTTGTGGCAGCTCATCATGTAAACAATGTAACTCCAGTTTGTTAAGCGATTTCAGCTGCGGAGATGCAAGGCTTACTGGTGGAGGGGGAGCAGGAAATAGCAGTTTGCTACCCGCTGCAGCTGGAATCACCTGAGAAGCCTTTAACTATCCCCAAGTGACTCTTTAAAACCAATAAACAAAAAGACAGGTGGTGCTTCCATCCCTTTTTTCCATTCCTGGAATTTCAGATGTGATTGGTTTAGGTTGAACCTATGCCTCAAATCCAGTTGTTCCTTCCCAGCAGCCTCATGTTCAGGTCTGACATTTGCAGTCATACAAGCTGCACTCCACACGATTCCATGCAGCTCTACTCATGTAGACTACGTTGGGAAGTTTCCCCTAAACCAGTACTATACCCAGCCTTCGAAATGGTATGTGGTGGGCCGGTATTCCCTGCAGGTTCAGCGTGCAAAGCTCTTCTGGGGGTAAATATTTGTAGGTGATATCTCATTTCATGAACGCTTCTGTCTGTGAACAATTCAGTTTGTAAAAGGAAGAGTTGGGCAAAATTTTGCTTCCATTTACAAACTCCGCATTGGGCAGTAAACACCTGTGGCCATCTTTCCCAGACTATTGGAATGAATTACGTTCATGAACCAAGGTACCTCTGTATTTTCCCTGTGTTTCCAGGGCCCAGAGTAATGTACCAGCCCTAGGAGGGGAGGAGATGGATGCCCTGCCAGCAGGAAAGGGCAAAGGGTAAACTTTGACTCACGGGTGCTGGAATAGATGCATTTACTTGGCATGTCCAAGGCAATTACAGGCCTCAGTGACTTAAAAGCTGCTTCTTCATTGCTGATACATCTTTTACAAAGGCTCTGTCATTCCGTATAAAATTACTCTGCTGATCTGTAGCTGTGTAAATGCAGAGGTGAAGATCACACGGGACTCTGAGAGTCCTGCCAACAAGCCTGCAGAGCAGGGACACTGAGGTTTGGAGCCCTTCCCATGGGGGACCACATGGGCTAGGCTTGGTTTAGGAACTCAGTGGTCGGAAGGAGAGGGTGAGTGTCTGAGTCTCTTTCTTGTTGCTCAGATACAATACCTGACACCCATGACTTCAATGAAGAGAGGGTTGCTTTGCCTCATAGTTTGTAGAGGTTCATCCACAGGTGGCTAGATCCAAGGCAGGATGGCCTGGCAGAGGGGCATCGCAGAGGAGGCTTGCTTATGGCAGGAAGCAGAGAGACATCAAGGAAGGAGAGAGGGAGGGAGGGAGGGAGGGAGACCCTTCCAGGCCACAGCCCCAGACACCCGTCTCCTCTAACCAGGCTTCACCTCCCAACAAAACAATTAGCTATAAACTAATCCACTGAAGAGTATCATGGTGTGAGGCTCTGGGAGGACATCTAGATAGAAGCATAACAGTGAGTGTGGCAGATAGCACTAAGCCTCCCCACTTCTACCCCTTCCTATATCCATATCATTCACCATGGGACTTGGCAGAAAGCATTTTACACCTCTCGACTCTAGCCACATGACTCCTTGGCCAATATAACGAGGAACAAGTGACAAGTTGCCCATTCTGGCCCTAGGCTTTCAGAGGTCTTGCCTGTTTCCATTTGTTTTCTGACACGTTTGCCACCACCCAGAAAAATGAGATTCCTATGCTGGACCACTGCTCCCAGGAGGAGGATGAGCAACATGTTGGAGGATAAGCACTTACTTTGGAATACCCTTGAATTTTTAAAGGTTTTTGTTATGCAGCATTATAGCAGCTATGGTTTACACAACGAGTCATTGCCTGGATCACCAGAAGCACAAAAGGCAGAGGCAGAATAGTGTCAGAGAGCAGTGACAAACACCACCATCAGAGAAGCAACAGGCATCTCAGGCCAAGTGCACTAGAAGTCTCGAGGGCGGGTGAGAAGGCACTGAGGCATGAAACACCCTCTGAACAGAAGACAGGCAAGACAGGAGCAGAAACCTGAAGAATTTTCCCTCAAGTGGCCCTGGGCTCTCTGTTTAGAGCCTGTTCTTATCAGTGCCTGCATGTAGAACTCTGTACATGGCCACACCACACTCATTCAGGGTGGAGGTGGCCGTTTGCTGGGGAGCAGGGGAGCTAGGCCCTTGTTGCAGATGTTCAGTGAAGTCTCTGTGTAACTCACGACTGGTCAGTGCTTCTAAGTCTCTGCTTTCTCAGTAGTAGAGGAAGAGACTGCACAAATCTCTGTACCAGTCAGGACGGGCCAGAATATGCAGAAGTAATAAATATTACTCTAAAAACAACCCATGCAATTTTTAAGCTTTTGTGTCTGATTTATTTCTCTTAACATTATGGTCTCGAGGTGCATTCATTTTTCTATGGATGAATCAAGTTTATCCTTATTTATGGCATAGTGTTACTCCATCATGTATAAATGCCACACTTTCTTTACCCATTCATCTGTTGATGGAGATATAGGCTGTTTCCACAATTTAGCCACTATGAATTGTGCTGCTATACACATAAAGCACAAAGTAAGAGACAGATAATAAGAAATAGGGAGACAGATGTTTTACAAAAAGGAAAGGAATCAAGAGATGAAGGGAGAGGGGAGGGAAGGGAGAAGAAAGTGATAAAAAAAAGAATTAAGATATATTATGTGGATGTACCAACTTCCCATGAGGAGTGCAATCATTATGTGCTGTAAACATGTACTAATAAAAAATTAAAATTAACAAAAGAATAAAATCCAAGAAAATAAAAAATAAAATCCAAGTTTATTTCAGGTTTATTGGTGTTTTTTTTTCACTGAGAACTCAGGATAACAGAAGCATCTTGCTCTCAGTTGTTGCAAGTCACCAAGGCCGAGGGAAACGGGAGGTCTCCAGGCACAACAGACTCAGCTCCTTCCAGACAGGGCAAGTTTCCAGTCACATCCATGAGTCAAGTCTGTGACTACATCAAATTTCAAACAGGCAGGGGGTGTGACTTTCCCAGTGCTTAGAAGGAGAAAGGCACAGAACCTTTATGAACAGCTGTGCTGACGGCTGCTATGCTCTCCCATAGAGTAAGATATTTTTAATATTTTAAAATAGTGAATGTTTCCCTCTTCCAGTGGCAGTCATGCAGACTTTCCCTTCATTACCTTCTTCTATGACATGGCTTCTCAACCATGAATACGGAACCCAGCTATTGACTGATGTCACCTTGTCATTCAGATGTAAATAAAACTGGCTTGAGTCCCTGACCCTCCTCCTGTGGGAAGTCCAAGATCTCCCTAGGAGCATTCTACCCCTTGTGTTCACCTCCCTGGTCACATCAGCAAATCTTGCCCTCATCTGTCATCTCCAATGGCTTTTGTCTACTTCCTGTTCCATTCTGACAGGAAACCCAGCCTCTTTTCTCTGATTTCCCTTAGTTTACACAGAGCACCACCTGTGTACAGCAAGGAGACACACATACTAGGCCCACATACAGCCTAAAAGTTGGGTAT